TGCTATTGCTTTCAAGGTATGATCATTATATTTGTTATCTTTGTCTGGGGTGTGTTTGAAATTTTCAAGAATTTTAATGGAATCTAGTTGAAAATTTACGCAGTTCAACTTGAAGAACATGAAAATTTTATTTAAAACATATTAAAAATATGGGAATTTCTAGGGGAATTGGAACTACGTATTATAAACTTTAGTAAAATCAATAAAATTTGGAATGTATTATTATTATTTTAGTTGAAATTCAATCGGAGGTTACCCGTTTCTGATTTTAGAAGGAATTTCTACCATGAGCTAGTTAGGCTAATTGTAAACTTCCGAGTAAATTTTATCAAAAATTTTCATATTTTACCTAATTTTTTGTAATTGAAGAAAAACCCGGTTTCCCATTAAAGTAAAAGCTCTACTTCACCTCTGCAAGATGAAGAAAAATCATGACCTACATTGAGCATTCTACAGTACAATTCTTTTTGAAGTGGGTTTTATGTTTGCCTAATGAAACCATATTATACGAAAGAAGTATTGTCTTAGTATTATTATGGCTATTCAAATGTAGCAAAGTGGATTTTTTTACTTTTCCCTTGCATCATGTTGATGAAAATAAAATTATTTCATATTCAAAATTACTCTAGATATGCTTATTTTTGTAATTATTTGGGGGATACTGTTTGGAAGGGTGGAGGTCCATACGGTCAAGAAGTTACCAGAGGACAGGATCTTACTGGGAAGGATTTTAGTGGCAAGACTCTGATCAAGCAGGATTTTAAGACAGTATGTCAATCACACTATTTAGTTGATTCTTAAGTTATTTGGAACATTATGAATTTTAGATAAGTGGTTGAATTCATTTGTAACAAAAATAAGCTCTCCTGCGAACAAAATGTTTAATTGGGTTTGTTCCAATGGTCCTTTTCGTAGTCTATCTTGCGGCAAGCTAATTTCAAGGGTGCAAATTTGATCGGTGCAAGCTTCTTTGATGCTGATTTAACAGGTTTTGTATCTTATTCATGTCATTTCGGGCTATACATTGTAGCATTGCAAAACTACTTAAACTTTTGGAAAGAACTCAGAATAATACATCTAACTTTTTATACTTTGTTTTTAAAAAATCTTTGTGATATTTTTAACTTGCAAGCAGAATGGGAACACTTCTTTTAGTTCTAGTTTCTTCCGTGGATATGTTTATGTAGTTCAAGTAGATAATCTTCAAGAGGCATCTTAATTTTTCTTCGCATCTCCTAACATGTACCCTCCATTATTGCTTCATGCATGTGATCCTACATTTATGTTGTGTGTGGTTAAATTTTTAATCAATCAATACCTGTAACATTCATATTAGTTTTATTTATGCCTATTTAGAACATAAGTTGTTGTCTTTAACTTACCATCATCCATCTTGAACTTCTTGACTATGCAAATTCAATTCCTGAATTTCAAGGTGAGATTGAATACTTGAATTTCCACTATCAAGGTACTCAAGGTGGAATTGATTGTAACTCAGCTGTCACATTATATTCCAATTTTGTATATTAAGACTAATGCAAGAATTGAAACTAGGACTTTGAATGGGAATTGAACCAGAAGTAAGCTCATACTTTCATGACTACTTCCACTTTTATGTCTCTTATAACTTTGTTAAGCTATCAGCCTGTCATAAATATTTTCCCTAAAATTAAGTCTTCTGGATATACTGTCATATTTTCTTATTTTGTTTCTTATCCCAAAGAATTGGTGGTTCTACATGGCGCAGTGCTAAAATGGTGGTTCTTATGTTATAATCAGTTGTCAATTTTTATGATTTAGGAGCTGATCTTTCAGATGCTGATCTCAGAGGTGCAGATTTTTCTTTGGCAAATGTAACAAAGGTGCCTAGTAATTTCAATTGGCTGAAATTCTTAAACAGTTCCGTTGAGCTTTATGGGTGATCTGATTTATGACTCTCTTCTCTTCTACGTATTGTTTTCTACAGGCAAATTTAAGTAATGCTAACTTGGAAGGTGCACTTGCTACCGGCAACACATCTTTTAGAGGAACAAAAATTACTGGTGCTGGTATGTAAAATAGATCCCTACATCATTGTTAATATGTAGTTTTACGTGCCTACATTCTATCCTACTAGCTCCATAGTGATTAGCATGTTCTTGATAGGAATTGTTCAAATACTTTATGGTAAGAGTAAGAAACTGATGCAGAATGAGTTACAATAGATTTCCTTAATAGTTTAGAAATTATAATTATGTTAAGTCCATATTGAGGAGTATTATTATAGTTTTAGTAACTTATGATTTTTATTCTTATTAGTATTTTCTTATTTGAATTAAGATTAGTATTCATAATAGTATTAGTATTAGTTTCTTATTTTTATTAGCATTAGTATTTCTAATTTTACTACTTTATTATTTCTTATTCTAATTCTATTTAGCAAAGCTTACTTAGAGATGTTATAAATAGTTTGTAATTTCACTTATTGAATCATTCAAGTTATTTAACAATATTTTGAGAATTTTTCAAACTTATGGTTGTGCAATGCTATCAAACTCTTAAATGTGATACTTAAAACTTCTTAAATATGATGTGTAAGAAATCCTAGATGTTATGTTTAGATTTTTTTATTCCCAAATTCATAATTAGACAGATCAATTCTATTTGTCATACATCAAAAATCATCAAGACATAACCAACCACCTGATCAAATCAGGTGGTGTGATTTTGAAGGAAATCTTTACAATTATTTGATTCACTCTGTGTATATAAGGCACTTGATGCTTATGAAACAAGAGAAAGTTCTAACAGGAAGAAAAAAAAATTGATGCTGATATATAAGTTTACCGCACTAAAGATCTTTAAGTTTGTAAGCAACTAGATGAGATTGAGTTTTGTTATGATTTCAATTAATTCTCAATGTTTATATCAGTTTAGTAACTTTGTGCAGGAATCACTTAATATTTTGTCTTCGAGACATCGTAAGTAATTCAGTGGCTATTCAACAGTCACTAGGTTAATATGAAACTTTAGAAAATTACAACAGAGGCATCATATCATATGTCCTCGAGACATCATAGATTTTTCCTTTCAGATTTAGGCTTTACCTGTGTCTATTTATATAGGTTAGCTCTTTTGTCTTATTTCATATGATTTCCATTTCCTTGCACCAATCAAATGGAGACTATATGTTTCCTGCACTTTGTAAGTTTATCAGCTTAATCTTAATAGACTTCCCTCTATTCCATCAGATTTTACAGATGTGCCTTTGAGAGAAGATCAACGGGAATATCTTTGCAAAGTTGCTGATGGGTAAGATACATATTGTCTTGTATAATACCTTTGCTCTCAAATTTGTGTCTCATAGGAACTAAGCCAAGGGTTATTTTCACCAGGGTAAATCCAACAACCGGAAATGCAACAAGAGACACTTTGCTTTGCAGTTAGCTCTTTAGTTCTCGCATTGAACAGTCAGTAACAGCATACTAAGAGCAGTTTTCATATATTTCCGGTTAATGCTCATGCTATGATATACGTCAATTGTGTCATTATTCTTTAATATCAAAGAGTTGGCTTTAAATTGGATATTGTATAGTGAAGGGGAATCCTATGTTCTCACTCACATCCAAAAAGAATTGGCTATGATGCTCATCCCTTTCTATTTTTTCCGGAGAAAAAGAAAATGTACGTATAGCATCGGTTAGGAACTGAACACATAAAAAATGTTATTAACATAGATTACAAACTGAACACATCAAGATTGTTATTATTTATCATAAATCTGATGATTCTTTCTAGTTATGCTGTTATGTATTCTGAATTTTCATGGAGCAATGCCCAAAAAACAGAGTTCTTTGGTCACTAAAGCACTAGAACATGATCATGGAATCCAATATTCTCATGGAAAGTAGGATGTTGATGCGATGAAATTTTCTTTTTCTTTTTTAGATTTCGTAATTTTCTGTTTTTTTAATCTAAATTTGACACGATTGATATTAAAAAGGAAAAGAAAAACATTCTCTGCGTCATTACATTATTATATTCCCGGAACAGGATTCCCTAAATTCTTGATTGAAATTCTAATAATAGTCTAGTACTATTGGTGTTGCTTTCTAAAGATTCATAAACAGTGAATCAAGAATACGAAAGATGCTGGGCTACCAAATATTGACTAGCATATCTAAACAATACAAGATTTAACTGTAGATATCATTTGTTTTTACTGGATTTAACTGTAGACACAACAATTATGTTACATTAATTTACCCTAAATCATAGTATAAAAACTGGGTCTAATGGAAAATCTACTTTATGGAGTAGGTAAATAATTAATCAAAAAAAGGGTAAACAAAAAAATACAGCCTGCTGTAACATCTTTTTTCTCATACTATATTTATTCTTTATTAACCAGTGGATATATATATATATACATACATATACCTGTAGAATTACCATTAAGAGGACTGACTGACCCATATATGGCTATATATATCTAGGTAGAATGTTCTCCCCTGATCTGCAGTTTCTAATCCTAATCAACATGCTGCTCTCTTTTCTGCTTCCTCGGTTCATTATTTCGCAACAATGCCTCCGCCGCTCCTGCTCAATCACGTAATAATTGTTAGGGTGGTAATTTTTGGGCATGCAAACTTAACGATTAACTGAGACGAAACTGAATTATCTGAGTTCATCTTATTCAATCTTATGATAAAAATTCATATATACAATTAATGGGGTAAGTTACCATTTAAAACAGAAGAAAAATAATGCTCACCTTGTTCCAATAATCTGGGTCCATCTTCATGGATGAGACAATGACTCTTTCTATTGACCTTGCACGAACATGCTCAATCTTGCTGCAATTCTCAGCTGGCAATATGGCCCTCCTATAACTAGTCCTGGTCCCCCTACTGCCAACCTCCTGAACCCAGTCCAGGAAATAAACGACTGGCTGCTCACACGGGTCACCATTCACAGGTCGGGTATTGAAAGTAAACGGGCCGTCACTCCAACTCCGCCATGTCTTGAACGTCTGCAAGGGTACCTCCAAATCCTTCGGTGATACCATTGATGTGTATATCTGAATGGTGTATCCCCACGATATGGATACGGACCACTTTCTCTTGTGATCATAGCAGAAGGTTTGCTGTAGGATCCGGTTAGGGTCAACCCGGTAAGCCGTCGTGAGGGTCTGCAAGGAGCTTATCTGAGTCTGGTTTGGGAAGATTGGATCCAAGTAGTCAAGGTGGTGGAGTGATACAAGTGGCACAATTGGGTGTGCTGCCAGGACTCCATATGGGTTCCCTCTTATATCAAGCTGAAAGTTTTGGAGTAGTATATCATGTTATATAACTAACGCATATAAAATACTGATGCTACTATATCATTGATACCAACCAAGAGCATACACACAAGAAAACTCTAAAAGATAGAAATAGATTTAATTGACTTTAATATTCAAGCTTTTATTCAACAAGAGACGGCAAGAAAATCCTTGGAAAAATCACTGGTCATTTTTTACCGTTTACTTTTTCACATAAAACTCACTCTCAGGAGTCAAGACCCAGCAATAAAAGCATTGCGGTATGCTGCTGGGTTTGGTGTGCTACCATTATGGTATAATTCTACCAAGTTAACTAAGGTGAAATTTTTAGGCAGAAATTTGTTGGTTTCTCGGCTAAAAATAATGTCCTCAAGATTTGCTGACAAATTAGGTTGTGACACCCAAAGGATATGGTCCCTTTTTGAACTTTTAAGCTCAAATTTTGACAGGTATTACTCGGTCATTCTTACATGGATCTAACTGGAAGTCGAGACTGTGAAAGTTGCAACTTTTTTTTTTTTTTATATCCGCTAGCTCTCTTATCTTCCTCTTTTTTTTTTTTCATACCCCAAACAAAAAATTCTCTCAAGCAATTTATTTAAAAAAAAAAACAAAATTAAAGGACTAGATCCGTTGGTTTTTCTTCTTTTGGGTCAAAGAAAAAACTCTAAGCTGATAATTATTCAACCCAAATTTACTAGACTAAACTCATCCACCGCCATAAATATAGGAGGATAAAGTTTAAATGATCTCCCAAACGCAAAAAGTTCAAAAAAGAAAAACTACACGTGGCGTGACCATATCACACCTCAATCTCTCCATGGTCGGGTTTTCAACGGCAGTGATAATGATATGACAACTTTACATCATCATCATCCACGCGTACATCCCAAACGCTGCCAAGTGGAGCCTTCGAATTTAAACCAATAAAAACATAGACACGCGTACCTGATGGAACCCACGCTCTCTTGTGAACGGCACGCCGATTTCGCTCATGCACGCGGCGATCCTCTGATCTGAGCCGTAGAAATAGTAGTAACGATCAAGACAACCGTCCAGAATGTTGACCAGCCGCTTAGCCAGCGCGTAGCTGACCGCGAACCCCCCACCTCCAAACGCCATCTCGTACGAATGCATGGTATCCTGCTCCACGCTCTCCGAGTTCCCGCCAACGTACCACATCTGACGGTGATCGTACCTCGCTAACACCGAAACCAAGTTATCAGCGAAAAACACCGTATCATCATCGCCCATCACAAACCACCTCACCTCCGGCAATTCCAGCCTGTAACTGTCCCATATTATACGGGCTATCCGGACCGCCGCTCTGGAGCTCGAGTACCTAAAACGGGTCCAACCCGGATCCGATACCCGTACGGGTACTCGAAATTCATGGCGGGAAAGGTCTTCGCCACTGTTGGCTTCTCTGTCCGTTTGATTCGCGGTATGCTCGTCGAGCCAAACGAAGCCGCGTGTAGCGTTGGACGTCCACCATATGGAACTGTAGCGGCTGCGGTCGCGCCACGTGTCGGCGGAGCCGGCTATGCAGAAGAGGAGATGGGAGAGGTTCGTTGGCCCGTCGGAGACGTATTGCATTGCGAAGTCGCTCCGGGTCGGGTTGGGTAACCGGAGCAAGGAGCCTGGTGAGGAGAACGTACCGTAGAGGACAACGGACACGGAAGCAACCAGGCACGTGACGAGAGAGAGGCGCGTGAGAAGCACGAGGAAATCACGTGGTCTCTCCGGCCAAATAAAGAAAATCGACGACTGGAGCGCGGCATCGCGGCTGAGTTCGCCGCTTTCGCACTTCATTATTCTTCCTTTCTCACCCCCCCACAAAAAATTTGAATTCACGAATACGTCTTGAATTGCACAAGATCTTCCCAGTTTTCACCCACACCCCAGCTCTTTCCTCTTTCCTCTGTCCTCTCTCTTCTTTTCCTTATTTTCCTACACTAAAAAACTTAAATTTGTAAAACTGCGTCAAAAACTTAAAAGAAAAATCCTCCGTTCACGCCCAGAAATCTGAGCGTGGACGTTGACGAAACGAACCCCAATGCCCGAAAAACTTTTCAATCAAGCCGCTTCAAGTCTATTCCTTTGAGCGTCGAGAAAGCTGATACCATCCACCATCAAGTCAATATAAGAAAACCAGAAGACAACCTCAGAAATTTTATCATGACGGCAATAACCCTACCTGGAAGAGGATTTTGCATAGAGCAGCCCTGGGTTTTCTCGGTAATTAATTATTATCATTATTTTTTCCGATTTTGAAAACAGAAGATTTATCACTATTTTTTTTTTTTTTTTTTTTTTTATAACCTTTTTGGTGAAATCATTGGAATGGTAAAAAAAAACTTACAGCGGTTTAATTGTAAATCACTTGCGCGTAGATGCGGTGTCGTTTATGGGGGTGCGGAGGGGAACATGCTAATAATAATACTAGTTGATCAAGACTTGGGTCAAATTTTTGTTGATGCTTTTTTTATATTTTCTAAATTCAGTGAATGAGATAATAAGGATTTATTTTTATAGGGTTTGAAAAAATAGTAAGTTTGATGCACATTAAAATTTTGAAGATCTTATACAGTAAAAATTTAAATAATGAAATGTATAGTCCAAATATAATTGAAAACCGGAGCCGGCTATTTCTGTAGACGGTGGTGCATAAATATGTATTTCTCTTAACATAATAAAAGATATTTTATTTATTTATTATTAGGTCAACACAATGAAAGATCTTAGTCGCTATTTTATAGTAAGAAATTTTTTTTTTGTATATTTCCTATTTAATTAGTTTTTTTAAATATTTGTGTATAAATTCATCACAAAACATCAACATTCAAATAATATACTTTTCAGTTTATTGCAAAAGTATTGGAGCTTAGAACACATCGAGGTATTTTATTCAACTGAAATATTAGTATATGTATTATGGAAGTCAGCCTAGCCTAATGCATGTTTTTCTTTAGAATGAAATTTTTTGTGCAAATTAAAAAAGACGGGGGGTGTGGTGGACCAACTATTTGTGGAGCGGACGGAGAAAATATCAGAATTGAGGTTCTCGCCGACGCTGAGGAGACAATTGCATAATCATCATTTAACTTTTTATGGCAAGGTCTTGAACGAAGAACAAACTTGGGGAAATGTTTATAGCGATTATGTTACTAAACGTCCCAAATCTGGTCTTAGCCCTATTATGCTCGATATCATACTCAAACCCAAGCAGTTGGATTTACTTTCTTGCTTTAAATAGATTTTATTTATTTATTAGAAAAATACCCATGCATTCAATTTTTATGTAATTTTTTTTGTTTTTAATCCCAATTGAATATTTTAATACAAATTTAAGTAATTATTAGGACTTTAAACTAAATCTTAA